TTTTGCGTGCATCATTCAAGTTGTGAACAATTTTGCGATCAGTATATACAATGTACGCGTTAAAATGTTATTAAATTCACACGTTTGTTAATTTGAATAAAAAATATATTAAATAAAAATATAATATAAATAATATATAATAAATATAAATAATGTTAAGTGTCGTGCAATAGAAAATTTACAAGTTGCTAAAAAATTTTCTGCAAACTGGCGTCATAGCCGTGCATGTCGGCACACGTTTAGTTAATGTACATCAATACATATATTGCATACAAATTTCTTTTTGTTTGCTTGATTAAAAACATATTTATAATATTTGTAAAGCTATTTGTATATGTAGAACTTTTAATATTATGTGTTTCGAATATAATACTTTATTTTATCAAATTATCACAAAATTAAAAAATAAACATGAATAACTCTTATTCGAATGAATGCTTGTTTTCCGAAAATATTGATATTTTGGAAGTAAGCCCTGAAATATCATTATTATTTGAAAAATGGGAGCTATCGTCTGGTGCTATATGTAGACTTGTGAATTTAAAAATAATTAGTATCGATATTTTTAAAATGATGCATTCTCATGATATCGATGAAATTTTTAATGACGAACAACTATTGGTTGATAAAATAAGGTTTAGACACGGACTTTCACTGTGGCGTTTCGAAAATAATGTAAGTTATTTTTATAATTTCGTACAATATAATATATTAGTATTTCAGCTTGATCCAATCATTTGTTGCCCAAATTTTCAAGAATCTCAATATAATAACAGAAAAACGCTACCATTAAATATAATTAATGAAAGCTGTAATGTTCCAGTTATCCAATCTAATATAGATATAAAAAGTATTCTTATTAACACTGTGGCCGGTAAAGATATTATTGAAAAATATAACACTACAAAATATTTAAGTGATACTGATCAAAATGCTATTGTCAAAATAATAGCTGACCATTTTATATTAAATACTATAAAAATGGATCCAAAAGTAATGATAAAAATTGCTCAGTCTATTACATACTTGTTTCCAACAGAAAATGCATTGACATATTTCGTTCCACGTACCAGTAAAAAAAACCCATCTGGTAAATTATATGATAGATATTGCAACTGTTTGTATAAGCGAAAAACTCTACCCGATGATCATGTCAAGAAAATCAAAATTAATGTTGAAGCTGAAATTTCTGCAGAAAATGGTGATGTTGAATTTGAGAAGAGAAAAAAATGGCTTTATTGGAACACACCAAATGATATAATGACTCCGTGGAAGGAGACTTCAGTTAAACGAATGAAGGAGCATAAAGAATCAATACAGCAGTTTCTTGATCAATGGGCGAGATACGGCGATTGTAATGGTCACGAGTTAATTGATATTGACTTTTCAACCCTCTATCCTGGCAAAGAAATGATAATGTTTGAAAAAATAGAGGACTTGGTGCAGAAAGTGACTAAACTATTTTTTCCGTCGTCTATAAAAGATAAACTAAATCAGCAATATTTTGAAAAAATGAAAGTAGCAAGTGATATAAGTATGGAGTAATATTATATATCTGATATTTTTTAAAATAACGAATATTTTTCTAGATTGCAAGCACTTTTATTTTTTCAACTTACTACATGCTATTATTTTACCTCCACGGATCAGTAAAATAAGTAAGCCATCTATAACGGACGCGCAAGAAGATATGATAACACATATTTTTAATATTAATAATTATCAACAAAAAGTGGATGAACTCAAGGAGTTAGCCTTAAGAGAAGGACTAACGTTTCAGCCGAAGGTTTTTGTTGTTGGTAATTCTCCAGAAACTTTAAAAGAATTTTATATGAATTTAAATAATATTCAGTATAAAGTAGGAAGTGTACTTAGTGCATTAGATTTAGTTATGAAAATATGTTTTGTATTTAATTTAGATTTTTCATTTAAAAGCAAATATGTGTGGATCTTTTTACAGATGTGTGTTTACGAAAAACCTTCAAAAGAAAAAATTTCAAAAATTGAAAATATTCTATGTAAACTTAGACATGCCATTTGAAAGTTTTAAAGAAAAATCCACACATATTTGCTTTATTTGTAAAACTATTTTTAGCTTGTCGCATTATTTAATAACTCTCTTAAAAAGTATTCATAAAGTACCTACAACCTACAAGTATATATGTCTTTACGACAAATGTAATAAACATTTTCAAAATTTGTATAAGTTTAGGAATCATATTCGAAGACATGATGTCAATTCACCTCTTGATATAAGTTGTATTTCATTGCCAAAAACTTTAAGAACTAATGAACTTGAAAGCCTAGCTAAAAATTCAATAAATAATGAAGAAGAGGATATTCAAGATGACAGTATCGTAAATAATGTGAAGTCTATTTCACCAGGTAACTATACTATTGACATCGTTCAAATTAAAAAATTAATAGAAATGGATATATTAAGATTTGCTTTAAAATTGCACTCAAAAATCAACTTCAATCGAAAAGACATTCCTGAATTTCAAACGTTTATTGTGGAGCATATAATTGAACCGATATTAAAGGGTTTTGAGATTTTTCACCAATTTATTCAACATGAAAAAAGGGAACTATTTAATGAATTAATGTTATATTCTAGAAATCCTTTTAAGGATATATTCTCTGAATTCATGTTAATAAAAAAGTTAGAAACATTAAATTTATACAAGCACCCCAAGTTATTTACAATATCTAAACAATTAGATGAAGTTGTTGTTCGTGGTTATCCAACATTAAAAGAAAATATAATTGAAGGTTGCCTTTGTAATATAAAACATCAACTTAAAAAGTTTTTTGAATCACCAAATGTTTTGAAGGCGACTTTACAAAATATTGAAAGTATCAAATCGTGTAATAGGCTTAATCACTTTATAAATGGAAATCTATGGAAAAGTAAAATTAGTCAATTTAATAATGAAATGTTTCCATTATTTCTTTATTTTGATTCTTTTCAAATAAATAACCCTCTTGGGGGCCATCAGTATTCAGTTTGTGGTATATATTTTTCAGTTCCAGTAATTCCACAAAACCAGTTATCTCATCAAAGCACCATTTTTGTTGCGGGTTTTGTTAACGCAAAAGATTTATCACACTTTGGTAATCACCAAACTCTCAAATACCTTATTGATGCCATTAAAGATCTAAGTACAAATGGAATTGACATTAGCATAGATGGAACCATTACCACTATTTACTTTTGTATAGGTCAAATTTTAGGGGATAACTTAGGTTTAAACGAAGTTTTAGGTTTTAATTCAGGTTTTAATAGTAAATATTTTTGTAGATTTTGTTCAGCTTCAAAAGAACACTGTCAAACAACATTTGTCGAAATTGAAGAAAATATTCGCAATAAAAGCAGGTATAGATCAGAAATAGAAAACCTTCAAATGAATGGGGAAGAAATATCTGCCGTTAGAGAAGACTCTATATGGAATACAGTTCCCTTCTTTCATGTTACTGACAACAAAATGTGCGATATTATGCACGATATATTTCTTGGAGTCGCAAAATATAATATACATAAAATCTTAAATTATTTCATATACGAAAAGAAGTTTTTTACTTTGGAATCTTTTAATTATAGGAAACAAATGTTTGAATATGGGCCTACAAACACGAGAAATATAAGTCCACCATTTACAAAAATGCAACTAAAAAATTGTAATATAAAAATGAATGCATCTGAAATGAAACTTTTCTTGCATTGTGTCCTATTAATAATTGGAGATTTAATTGATGAATCGGATATTGTATATGAGTTTTTAGTAACTTTCGTGGAAATTGTAGACATCGTTTTATTAGAAGAATTTGACGAAGCAATTTTAAAAAAATTACAGCTTTTGATCGCTAAACATAACAAATTTTTTGTTGAATATTTTGGTGAAAAATTAAAACCGAAATATCACTTCATGGTTCATTATATTTCTGCAATAAAATCCGTGGGTCCACTCAGGCATTTGTGGTGTTTTAGATTTGAAGGAAAGCACGCATTTTTCAAAAAATATGCAAATGTTATTACTTCAAGGAAAAACATTCCATACACATTAGCTATAAAGCATTCCCTCCCTTACATTTGCATCAAATACGTTAGAAAATAATTTCTTTCAAAAGGATATATCTGATCTTAAAGAAGTTGCACAAGTTGATCTAACTCAGTTCAATTTTTATACAAACTTATGCACAAACTTTACTATTGGGTATGAAGTCAATAGCTTATCTTACAAGGGTATAATATATGAAAAAGGTAGTTACGTACGATGGAACAATATTATATGTATTATAATAACAATATTTTATGAATCGACTAATGACTTTTATGTGATAGGTCAAGAAATTAATACTGTTTTTCCAAATAAATTTCAATCCTACAAATTTTTAAACAAATGTAATTGTTATTATATTAAATTAATTAGTGAAGTTTCTTATCCTATTAAACAATGTACATTAAATAATGGAGAGGTTATGTTAAGATTTTAAATTAATTTGCTTAAGAGTAAGAAATTTCTTATCTATTATCTAATACCTAATGTATCTTATGTAATAAATTATCTAATATAAATTAAATCTGTGTACAATTCTTTAGGTATTAACAAAATAAAACATTTATACATACAACTACTGTGTTATATCTTATTTTTGATTTAGTAAATTAATTTAACGTAACATATTACGACGACAATTTATTTAGTAGAATTAACAAATTTTTACTGTAAAAACAAAAGTTAAAATTCTTGAAATGACAAATAAATTGTTATTTAGTCAAAAACGATTAATTGTTATTTTAAATAATAAACTTGTTATGGTAACAATTTCGTCAAAAAGGTTTACATTGTTGTGAGAACTGCTAGACATTGTTGGGTACAATATGACTCAGAAAAATACTTGAAACAAAAGTCAAAATTGTTGATATTACAACTTTTTTTTTTCAGTGCAGATAAATTCTATTTTATTTATAAAATTGTTTATGTATTTTTTTGGATACACAACATTATTTAGAAAATTGAATTATGTATTTTTTTTTGGATAAACATTTTTAGAAAATTGAATTGTAACAAAAGTAAAGTAGAATTTACATATATATTGAATAAGATAAACTCTCTTTATTTAAGAAAATTTAATTTATTGTAAACGCTTTTGAATTGTAATAATATATATAATAACAATAAAGAAGAAGTGAATACAAAAGGTACCGTGGTTTTGAATAGAACAGAGACTAGGGACGGATGAATCATAAGAAATTACGCTGTGAATCGGAGTCGAGTCCAAAAATACAAATTGTCTTGTAAGAACCCTGGACACTGCTGAACTATCCCAGCTATAGACAGCCCCACGTAAAGGAGTTCATTACAATACATAAAATAAAATTTGAAATACTTTTAATGTTGTTTTTTAGAAGTTCTGGTGCGTGAGTTCTGGGAGCTCAGTTAGTCAGTTAGTTAAGCCAGTAGAAAGGACAAAGGTACTAGTGGCCGTAAATATATATAAATAATAAATAAATTTGTAAAATTGGATCCTGAAGGGACACAACTGTTGTAAAAAAGCAACAATAAATTCGTTACCTAAGAATTAAAAAAGAAAAAACAGAAAAAAAAAGTGGAATTAATTTTATAATTTTAAAGAAAGAATCGCAACAATGAAACTGTGAATTAATCTATAATGAAGTGAACAGAAGTAATTAGACATTTGTGCACAGAAAAAATAAATAAACAATTTTAAACTGTTCTAAATTAATGAGTACACAAAACTAGTATAACTCCTGTGAGAATGTGAGAGTGTTGAACATAAATTGTTTTACAACCATCACTATTAATGGTAATTTTAAACATAAAAATAAACCAGTTGCAGTGTAGTGTATTAGTGTAAAACAAATAGAAATAATCAAATTCAACGAAAAACAATAAATAAAATATAAAGTGTTTACAACAATTGACATAAAGGGATTTTTATTATTTTGAAGACACAACAAAACTAAGTTAGTTTCGAAAGTGTTCATACTGCCCCAAATTAAGGAAATCATACGTTTTTTTGTTTATAAATGAAATTACATGCTCAAAACACTATTTGTATTGGAAGCCAACGGTGGGAGACAGCGTTCTACTTAAACAACACACACTCTCGAAAGCAACTGACCACGTGGCAGCTAAATTGTCACCTAAGTTTAGTGGACCATACAACGTAAAAGCATTTAAATCCCCAGTGATTGTAGTACTCACAAGCAAAGACCACAAGGGCACCAGAACGGCACACATCAGTGAAATAAAGCCACACATTAAAAGCTGCCAAGTAAAATACTACACCGACACGCTCTTACTCCATGCTTCCCAGCCTAATAAACACAAACGGTAAGAAATAGGGGTGACTAATCTGATGTTTCTTTCATTTCCATTACAGCAAACAACACCAACACTCAAAAATCTAAAACCAAAAATGCGACGATTCGAACGTGCTAATGTCAAGGACCAGGTAGCGGATAGTCCCACCTTATCGAATACCGAACCAGGGTTAGGCGCTTAAGAAAAATGGGTCAAGCATTGCCGTGAATTTTTTGGCAGCGATTCCGAAGAGGAGTGGCCACTACCGTTAGGAAATGAACCGATGGCAGCAAATAGTAACCAACCAGTCATACAATCCGAAGGAGAGCCAAGACCACAATCAATGCCTATACAACAAGCAATAAAACGGCCACCAACCCGACCGATGAACTGGAGGCCAAGAAAGTCAGCAAAGACAGCTCGATCCACAACAATACCCGTGCGGCCGAGTCCTAAAGTATTTCGTCAACAACAGCAGCAATATCGCTCAGAACGGAAGCAAGAACCGGCTAAACCAGAGGTCAAAATAGTACCACAGACGTCGTTCAGCTCCTCAGAAAAGTTAGCCACCTGTCCGTCAACATCATCCATAGCAAAGTCACCAGTAAAACAGCAGTTTGAGGAACAAGCAGGGTCTGAGAAGTCATCAACAAGAGCTTTAACACCAAAAAAGGCGCACTCACAAGTAATATTGACTGGCTGCCCACCAACACCACCCACAGCCAAGAGAATCCTAGCACAGGCGTATAACGACAAGTTAACTCCAACCCCCGGACCGGCCGTGAAGCAATACCTACAACCCGAAGAGATACAGGCTGTTCGTACCAAAATACTACAGAGAGTGGTAGTTTTCAACAAGAGAGGTAAACAGAATTTCCTAACCGAACACGAAGACCGGGTCTATCAAATCACGATGAGGAAGTCGGGGAAGGTAGTGGTCGCGCTCTTACCTTCGGGAAAGTAGGGAGGGAGTGTGAGGATCAAATTTAATATATAAATTTCAACCCCACTAACTAAGTGGTTAATAAAGTCAAACAATAGATTTGTGGTGCAAAATAGCACTTTTGCTTTCTTCAAATGTTTCTTTTCACTCGCAATAGGAAAATTTGTGGTGCAAAATAGCACTTTGCTTTCTTCAAATGTTTCTTTTCACTTACAATAGATTTGTGGTGCAAAATAGCACTTTGCTTTCTTCAAATGTTTCTTTTCACTCGCAATAGGAAAATTTGTGGTGCAAAATAGCACTTTGCTTTCTTCAAATGTTTCTTTTCACTTACAATAGATTTGTGGTGCAAAATAGCACTTTGCTTTCTTCAAATGTTTCTTTTCACTCGCAATAGGAAAATTTGTGGTGCAAAATAGCACTTTGCTTTTGCTTACGCGAAATGTTATTTGTCGCTTGCAAATTTGTATAAAAGGAAGAAAAATTATGGGTTTCGTCCTATTTGTGATTCAACACCATTACAGGTAAGTCGTGTGGGAAATATTGAGAGCTCATTTCAAGTGACCTGGACACATGA